ACTCGGTACACCGCGCCACACCAGATCGTAGCCCATTCAATCCTGACCGTCCGATCAACTTGAAGATCAAACCAATAACAATCGCACGATCTGTTCATTCGAGATCCAACAGTGCCCAAGCTTTAGACGCACGAGTGCACTATACACTCGTCCGCACCGCTGCAGAACCCAGAGCTTCTTTCTCCTCTCGCCGGCGATTCTCTCTCTCTCCGCCCATCTCCCCTTTCCGACCGTTTCAAGCCACGAAACCACCACAGAAACGTGCATCGACTTCTTTGAAGCAAAACCTTGGTCGTTTTACACTTTTTCACTGGCGATTTTGGCCGGAAAACGGTCGCGACCTTCATCGGCCAATCGACCTTCAAGGCATCGCTTCTCCCTCCTCAAACATCAACGGCCAACGAGACCACCACCATCAGAATCCTCGTCCTCAGATCTACCACAAGCAACCATCGTTTGGCTGGAATCGCACCGGAAAAATTCATCGCCGTCAACAGTAACCTTGCGTGAGCCACACGCGCTGCCAGTGGCATTTTCATAAATTTTCGATAAATCCGAGGGTATTTCAGTCTTTTGCCTATACAGGGGTACTCATGTAATGTTTTATGATATTTTATGTTATTTTTTGATATTTTTATATATAAATACTTGTAAATTTTTGCATGTGAAAAAAACAAAAATAAACCAAAATAAATAACGACGCGGGTTCAACACCCATTTTATCATATCACTATTCATGGGTCAAAAACCCAATTTTCAAGAATTGATATATCTATTTGTCAATGATATCAAAATAATTTTTATTTTATAAAATAAATATTATTTGTTGACACGTCTCTTTTATTTATAGAAAAGGACCGATGTCAAAAATTCAAATACCAAATATGGATTATGTCCATTATTATTTATTTTGGTAAATCAGACATAACTCTCCTTTTTACGGATAAATATCGACATTTTAGACAAAGTCTCCTAATTTTAGGGACTGATGTCATTTTTAACATGTCTCCTATTTTTAGGGACCGACGTTAACTGTCGCACCCTCGCGTGCGGAGCGCGGCGTCGCGGCGACCGTCGATTGATTTCGGGGTCTCTTAGTTTTATTTTTGTGTAAAAGAGAGTCGCCACCTAATATTATGGTCACTAGGAAACCTAACTAGTCTTTCAGAGATTCTAAGGAAAGGGACTGGTTGCGTAAAGGGAAGGTGTTAGCACCCCTAGTACGCCCTACCTAAGGTAAGCTGCTTGGTGTTTGTCTTATAATTGCTATGGTGTTGGTGTTTTCTAATCCCATCAGTTTTTCTCGGTTCGATTGTAACTAGATTTCTTAAGAAAGAAATCCAAGGAGATTCAATGCGCTTTACAAGCTCATTTTTTTCTTGGTATTTCAAGAACTCGTAAATCGTGAGGGAGGATAAAAATTTAGAAATCTAGGGTGCTTTAAACGCCTATTTTTGCCTTAGTACTTTTGTACTCTCACGGCTCGTAAACCATGGAGAAATTTTTTTTGAAATGTCCTCGATTATAATCAAGGCTTCTTTCAAGGATGTGTGCGGATTTATTATTCCTAGAAAATTATCTTGGATATTTACCACTCCGGGTTTCTTTATCCAAATATTAACAGTGAATAATAACAAATTATTCCCAATAATATTTTGGATGTTCATCCTTTAAGGATTTCTTCATCCAAACATTAGTGGTAAATAATAGATAAATTCTCCCCAAAATAAGATTTTTATATTTTTTGGAATATTGGCCAACACCCTTTGGAATTTTACAAACATGTTGTAAAATCCATAAATGCAAGAAAATAATTTGTGTTTAAGAAATTCATGCGAAAACACATTTTTCAAAGCTTCCAATATTTTTTCTATATAAAAAAAAATTCAAAAAAAAAAAATATGTTAGGGTATTGGCCGTATGCAACACACAAGAAAATAATTTTTTTATATGTATTTTTTTTAATACACCAACATCACAATTAGACATAACGCCAAAATAAAAAGTAACAAACCATCATTTATATTACAAGAATTACAAGAAACTTGAAACAAATCATAAAAATCATTCAAAGCCAAATCAACTTAAAATTTTGTACACTGGAACTAACTAAATCCATATGAATAAGGGAAACAAAGTCTTGAAACTGAAATTTTGAAATTAAAATCCTAGTGCATGTGACCATGACTCATGACTAAGTTTTTACAATCCGGGAGTTCATACCACGGTAATTTCATAAAAAGGAAGAACTTGGAATGGCATGCTTTATATATATATATAAATGGAAATTAACTCCAAAACAGTGATGATCAATGGCAGGAACAAACAACCCCTTTTCCCCGGTTCCTTAATTCCAAAACAATAAAAGGAAAGAAATAATTAATGGCAGGAACAAACAGCCCCTTTTCCCCGGTTCCTTAATTTCAAAACAGTGAAAGGAAGGAAATAATTAATGGCAGGAACAAACAGCCCCTTTTCCCCGGTTCCTTAATTTCAAAACAGTGAAAGGAAGGAAATAATTAATGGCAGGAACAAACAGCCCCTTTTCCCCGGTTCCTTAATAACAGCCACCCATCCGCAACTCAAAACCACGGCAGACCATAAGACAAGGGAAGCATTCATTGTACAGTCTAACCTTGAAAATAAATGTGCAAAACAAAGAACGAATAAGGAAGGCAGCAAAGGAGGAGAAAATTAAGACTTACCTGCAGGTTTCACCGTTTCCTTTTCTGCAGAAGATGAGGTACAACTAAACAAGTGTTGCTGTCAAACTTTAAAGCAAATCCCCTTCTCCGTCTTGTCTTTTTTTTTCTTTTCCCTTATGGTCGACCCCTCTTGGTTTTTTCTTTTATTTTCTGCTCCCTTCTTTCGTTCTTTTCTGCTCTTTTTTTGCTTTCGTTCCTCTCCCTTCTGCACTCTTTTCTTATTTTTTTTTTTGCCGCTTTTTGATCTCTCCTTCTCCTCCCCGCCCTAGGTCATTAGAGGGGCTTATATATAGTCTAACCTATATCTATTTAGGAAGGATTCAATGCATTAATCCTAGGACGCAAATCCCTACTGATTTGCAGTAAAAAAAACGCAAAAGGAAACTGTAATATTCTGATTTTGTGGTGGTGTTTTACGTCTGATTTCTTTCCAGTTTTGGAGGATGGTGTGGCTCTTTTCTTTCCTTCCATAGGGCCAGCTGCTCCCTTTGAAATGAGGCAACAAAAACGTGGTCTTTAGCTCCAATAATCAGAGGCGATGAGAAAGGAAAAACAGCAGAGAAAAGGGAAAGCAATCAGATGCAGGGTGCAGCTGCAAAGTCTTATTTTCCTTAATCGGTGTGGTAAAAATCCTTTCATTTATGATGATCCACGCCCCCTCTCCAGCTTTCCATATCCTTCTTCAATTAAATCCCTCATTTTAACACTTTTCGATTCAGTCCTGGGTCCCGAAAAAATCCTTCGAATCAGTCCCGCAAACTTGGGTCAAAATCCTGCTTGTGACAGAATCCTCTATTTTCACATCAGAGATTCAAACGTGCAGAGCTTGAGCTTCTGATATCGAAATCGAGAAATTCAAAAACCAAAATTCATCTATGCGTGTAGGATTACAATTTTGACAGGGATTTAAGGCGAGATATAATCATTTTATAGGACAGAATTGGGCCGCGATCTCGTCGGTCAAAAAGGGTCTCCTGATCAGATTCAAAAAAAATGACAAATGTCGAGCATCCTGATATGACTGGGAGTACCCTAAGAATGAACCAGAAAAATCGTGATGGCAATAGAATTTTTTCGGTGCAAAACTTGGGTCAGAATCCTGCTCACGGCAGAATTCTCTATTTTTCACGTCAGATATTTAAACGTGCAGAGCTTGAGCTTCTGATATCGAAATCCATCGATTTGAAAGTCAAAATTCATCTATGCATGTAGGATTACAACTTTGACAGAATCAGGCCATAATCTGGTTGGTCAAAAAGGGGTCTCCTGATCTAAATTCAGGAAACTGACAATGCCAAGCATCCTCGACTGAGAGTCTGCCATAAGAACAATGAGCCCTAGGACCCAATCAAGGTGTAGGTCCATTCTTCAACATGTCATGAGTGATAGAATATAGTTGGGATGGTCAGATATTGCACGAACCCAAGTCAGAATCAGGGTCTAAGTTGGAACAAAACAACAAAAAAAATAAATAAATAAAATTGCGGCAGCAGTAGAACTAGGTTTTTCTAGTGCCACTTTCAAAGAATTTATTTCAACCTTACAGCCCATGTAAAAGAGGAATGAATTTATCATTATAAAGAATCCTAATTAGCCTAAGAATCCTGACAATTTCGGTAGCAGTGGGGAAGGATAAAAAGAGCAGGAGATGGCTAAAAAAATGAGTAACAACAGATGCCCCCTCTTTACAAAACTTGCGAAGCTAAAACTTGAGTAGCAAGTTTTGTAAAGATAAATTAATAAAACTGTCAAAACTCGATGCCTTCTTAAATATGGTCTCATTATTAGGTGACCTATATGTTTCTCTATTCAAAAGAATTTTAAAAGTGGTCTAAATGCCGGGTGACCTGCCCGTTTAGAAAACTCCATGCTTTGTCTTTTTTTTTTTTTGAAGAATGATTTCAATGTCGGGTGACCTGCTCGTTGTAAGATTCTTTTAGAAAAAACTCCACTCTCTTTTTTTCTAAAAAGTAGTCTCAATATCGGGCGACCTGCCCGTTGTCAGATTTTTAGAAAAACTCCACGCTTTTCAAAAAAGTGGTCTCAATATCGGGCGACCTGCCCATTGCCAGATTTTTTTAGAAAAACTCCACGCTTTTTCTAAAAGGGTGGTCTCAATGTTGGGTGACCTGCCCGTCGTAAGATTTTTAGAAAAACTCCACGCTTTTTCTAAAAGATGGTCTCAATGTTGGGTGACCTGCCCATCTTAAAATTTCTTAGAAAACTCCATGCTTTTCTAAAAAACCGTCTAAATATTAGGTGACCGGCCTATCTTAAAATTCTTAGAAAACTCCACGCTTTTCTAAGAAACGGGTTCAATATCAGGTGACCAGTCCCTCTTCAAAATTTTTTTTAGAAAACTCCACGCTTTTTTTGATGAATGGTTTCAATATCGGGTGACCTCAAGGAATGAAGCAGTGCTGGTTGGCAATTCCTATCCTTTTCTGTAGTTTTGTAGACCTGAGATTTTGGACATCAGTGAAATTTATTTATTTATTTTTTCTTTTCAAAAACTTGGAACTATTTTGGCCTTCATCACATCTTCTCCTGCCAAGTTAGTGTTATGACAGTATAGCATGCATGTTTTTTTTTTTTGTTACCTATTTTGGAAACATAGGTCCCCCCCTTCTATTGTAGACTTATTGAGCTCTTATTTCCACTTGTTTGTCCAACTCGTCTTCTTGAAACAAAATATGCTCCACGCGTTATACTTCCTATCCTCTTGGTGAAGAGATCTTTGGTTCCTTATGGGGCCCTTTCTTGATCCATTGAATATTGTCTTTTATTATTATTTTAAAAGGAAAACTCAAAAGATTTGGTTTTGTTCATGAAAAACTGAAACTTTCAATGCAATTGGCAATTCTCATAAAAGATTTTTTTTTTTTTAGAATTTTTTTATGATGATCCCCCTTTTAGGGCTTTGGTTCACCCCTATGTGCACTTCGTACACTTCTTGCCCCCAGTGTGGTGTGCAAAAATAAATAAATAAATAAATGTCAAGTTTAGATTTGATTTGATTCTCTCCAATTGATGGAGTCATCTCCTTAGTCATGTGTAAGAAAGAAAAAAACATTGTTTGAGTAAAAGATTTCAGATGTTATGAGATCATGCGTTTTATGAAGAAAGGTGCTTTACAGAGAAAATTCATGGCCAAACTTTATTTTATTAATTGGCAGATTACGGAATACATCAAGCGTAATATTTCCTTACAGAATCAGAATTCACTGGCCTAACTAGATCTTCTCCATCCATTCTAGATAACAACAAAGCTCCTCCTGAGAATGCTTTCTTCACCACATAAGGACCCTCATAGTTCGGCGCCCATTTACTTCGATCTTCTCCTGGTAAAGGCACTATTTTCTTCAATACAAGATCTCCTTCATGGAATCCTCGAGGTCGAACCTTTTTGTTGTAAGATTTGACCATCCTTCTTTGGTAGAGTTGATGATGATAAATTGCGGCTATCCTTTTTTCACTGATCAGATTCAGCTGTTCATATCTAACTTTTGCCCATTCCACCTCTTCCAACTCAGAGTCCACCAGTACTCTCAATGAGGGGATTTCCACTTCTAAAGGCATAACCGCCTCCATTCCATATACCAACATGTACGGGGTGGCTCCTGTTGAGGTTCGAACTGCGGTGCAATATGCGTGAAGGGCAAATGGCAACATCTCATGCCAATCCTTATAGGTGACTACCATCTTCTGAATAATCTTTTTGATATTCTTGTTAGCAGCTTCTACCGCACCATTCATCTTTGGTCTATACGGCGAAGAGTTGGAATGCTTAATTTTCCATTTAGCGCAGAGTTCTATTATCATCTTGCCATTGAAATTCTGGGCATTATCAGTTATAATCTTTTCTGGTGGACCATATCGACAAATCAAATCTCTCTCAATAAATTTCTTCACTACTTTTTGCGTTACATGAGCAAATGACCCGGCTTCTACCCATTTTGTAAAGTAGTCAATAGCCACAAGAATAAACCTATGACCATTGCTGGCTTTTGGGTTTACAGGTCCAATCACATCAATCCCCCACATCGCGAAGGGCCATGGAGATGTCAAGTTAAATAGAGGAGCTGGAGGGGCGTTGATTTTGTCACTATATACTTGGCACTTATGACATTTTCGGACATAGTCGATGCAATCCTTCTCTAATGTCATCCAGAAGTAACCGGCTCTTTGCATTTTCCTGGCCATCACGTGTCCATTAGCATGGGTTGAGCAAATCCCTTCATGGACTTCTCGTAACGCGCTTTTTGCCTCAAATTCATCCAAACATCTCAATAAAGTCCCGTCGAATGATTTCTTATACAAGATCTCCCCATCAAGATAAAAATTTATTGCCAACCTCCTCAAGGTCTTCTTGTCGATTTTGGATGCCCCCATGGGATATGCCTGGTTTCGGATGAAATTTTTGATATCATAATACCAAGGGTTTCCATCCACTTCTCTTTCAACTGAGCAACAATGAGCTGGATTATTTCTAATATTGATGTGTACTGGTTGTACCTTGTGCCCAAAATCTATTTTGGCCATAGATGCTAGTGTAGCTAAAGCATCTGCAAACTGGTTTCCTTCCCTTCCTAGATGGGTGAACTCTATTTCCTCAAATTCTTCAGCCAGTTTCGACAGGTATTCTTGGTAAGGCCTTAACTTCTCTTCCTTGGTTTGCCATTCTCCTTTTACTTGGCAAATGATCAGCATTGAGTCTCCATACACGTCTATCTTTCTAATGTTTAACTCCAATGCAGCTTCTAAACCAAGAATGCAAGCTTCATACTCAGCTGTGTTGTTGGTGCACCCGAACTGCAGCTTAACTAAAACCGGATACTGCTTCTTATCAGGAGAGATTATCACTGCACCTGCCCCATTGCCACATACATTTACAGCACCATCAAAGTACATAATCCACCAATCTGATTTCTCTTCCTCGATTGCAAGCACATCTTCATCGGGAAAATCAAAGTCTAATGACTCATAATCTTCCATAGCATGGTCAGCCAAGTGATCGGCAATAATACTCCCCTTTACGGCTTTCCTTGTCATATATACTATGTCATACTCAGCCAATAGAACTTGCCATCTTGCAATTCGGCTCGATAAATAGGGCTTTTCACAAATATACCTCAACGGGTCTAATTTGGAAATTAACCACGTAGTGTGATACAACATATACTGACGTAATCTCTTTGCAGCCCATGTTAGTGCGCAACACAGCTTCTCAATCACAGTATACCTAGACTCATATTCCGTGAACTTCTTGCTCAGGTAATAAATGGCCCTTTCCTTCCTTCCAGTTTCATCGTGTTGCCCAAGCACACATCCCATTGCTGTTTCTGTTATTGTTAGGTACAATATCAATGGCCTTTCTGGTACAGGAGGAACAAGCAAGGGCGGATTCAACAAGTATTGCTTGATTTTCTCAAAGGCCTCTTCGCACTCTTCATTCCAAATTCCTGGGTTCTTCTTCCTTAATAAATGAAAGATTGGGTCACAAGTCGTGGTTAATTGGGATATAAACCGAGCAATGTAATTCAACCTTCCTAAGAAGCTTCTCACATCTTTCTCAGCCTTGGGAGGTGGCATAGATTGAATAGCCTTTACTTTGTCGGGATCAACTTCTATCCCTTTGTCACTCACCACAAATCCCAACAATTTCCCAGATTTCACCCCGAACGAACACTTCGCCGGGTTAAGTCTCAACTTATATTTCCTTAGTCTTTCAAACAATTTCTTTAATATTTGGACATGATTTTCTCCCTCTCTAGATTTAGCAATCATGTCATCCACGTATACTTCAATCTCTTTGTGCATCATGTCGTGAAACAAAGTCACCATAGCCCTTTGGTAGGTGGCCCCGGCATTCTTTAAACCAAATGGCATGACTTTGTAGCAAAAGGTTCCCCATGGTGTTACAAAGGTTGTCTTCTCCTTATCCTCTTGTGCCATTTTTATCTGATTGTATCCTGAAAACCCATCCATAAAGGAATATGTGGAGCTACGTGCTGCATTATCAACTAACATATCTATGTGTGGTAGAGGGAAATTATCTTTAGGGCTAGCCCGGTTTAAGTCCCTAAAGTCCACACAAACTCTGATTTTACCTTCCTTTTTGGGTACCACCACTATGTTTGACACCCATTGTGGATACTTGACTACTTCCAAAAAACCAGCGTTCCATTGTTTTTCAATTTCTGCTTTTACTTTGATTAAGACCTCCGGATGAGTTCTCCTCAACTTCTGCTTAATCGGTTTGCATCCATCCATCAGTGGTATCCTATGTACTACGATATCCGTATCCAAACCAGGCATATCCTCGTAGGACCAGGCAAAGACATCTACGTAATCTCTGAGCAGTGCAATCAATTCTTCTTTCTCTTCAGAGGTGATCAAAGTCCCTATTTTCAGCTCTCTCTTGATTTCTTCATTACCTATATTTATGGTTTCAAGTTCCTCTTTAGCGGGCCTCCAAGCCTGTTCATGTTGTTCTATTAATTTTGTGAATTCCCCTATGTTTTTCTTCTCCCATTCCTCATCTTCTACAGCGACTATGTATTCTTTAAAGTTTGGCCATTCATTCTCAATGTAAAGTGTAGGTGTTGTTGTGGAAGATCCGCTTTCAGGGTTCCTGAAAGCGGGAAGTGATGTGTAAATGCATAGTAAGACATCAAAATGAAATTTGAAAAAAAAATGCATAATCTCATTAAAAGGAAAAAGATTGGCTCAAAAAAAAAATAAAAAAATCCAATTGACATCTTGAGCTTCGATTGTCAATGAATAAAAGCAAAATAAAAAGACAACCAATCATAAATAAAGTTATAATCCAACAATCATTGTTGATTACATTTTGAAAACCAATGGAGCTTCTTGGGTCTCCCAATTCTGGAACTTCTCTCCTTCGGCTAGCTTTCGAACAAAAGTTTTGGCAGTAACTTCCTCCAAAGTGTAGATGGTTAATTACGGCAACTCTTCATCCTTTCTTCCGGATTCAAACTTCTCAGCGACGTCCTCGACTTGATCTTCCTCCAGACAGTTTATGTTTATTGAAGAAAGCTTTTGAAGGAGGTTTTCATGTCCCTTATTAGGTTGCATCACGTATGCAGCCTTTGGAAAAGAAATCCTGATAGGAGGGATGGCTAAGCTCTCTTCTTCAGGCTTTCTTCCTTCAATCCTTGCCATTCTTTTCTCCCTTCTTGCACCAGCAGCTCGCTTGTAATCCTCCTTCTTAGGCTTATATCCAAGCCCAAACCTCTGTTCTGTAGTTTTCAGCTTGATTATATCAATCAACTCACATTTTCCTTTCTCGATATCATATGGGAAAGGAATCTTGTGCTTTAAAAAGCTTTTAGCGGCCATTTTGGTGGCCTCTGAAATTTCTGGTTTCCTCACCACAGTGTTCTCGGGCACCCACTCGGTATTCACAACCTCAAATGCATGAAGATTTTCATCCTTACAATCTTCAGCTTCAATAAATGGAACTGCCACATTTCTTACCATCGATATAGTCTCCTCAGCCTTAACAGTCACTAGGACACCATTAGCAATGTACTTCAAACATTGATGCAACGAGGAAGGGACAGCTCCTGCAGAATGTATCCATGGCCTTCCTAACAAAATGTTATAGGAAGGGTGTATATCCATTACTTGAAGGGTCACTAGAAAGACTTGTGGGCCCACAGCTAGTTCAACCTCAATTGTCCCTATCACTTTCCTTGGCGAGCCATCGTACGCTCTAGCCATCATCACACTAGGTTGCATGTGTGAGGGATCTATCGGCATTTCGTCCAGTATATGTCTTGGTAACACATTAAGGGCTGAGCCGTTATCGATGAGAACTTTACCGATGAGACAATCTTTACATCGTACCGTGACATACAAAGGCTTGTTATGTCCTGTTCCTTCAACGTCAAGTTCATCTTCCGTGAAATATAGGTAATTGGCAGCATGGATCCTCCCTACTAGATGCTCCATAGTCTTTTGTTCAATATCTTGGGGTACATAGGCCTCATTCAGTACTTTTTGCAAAGCATTACGATGCGGCTCAGAGCTGAGTATTAATGACATGATGGAGATCTTGGCAGGGGTCTTCTTTAACTGATCCACTATACAATACTCACTATGCTTCATCAATTTCAGGAACTCATTTGTTTCTTCCTCAGTCACAGGTTTATTCACCTCAAAATCTTTATTTAGGTCCAACACCTCCTTGCCCTTAGCCTTTCTTTGCTTCTCTAGTTCTTCAGGTGTGAAACAACGACCACTCCGAGTTAGCCCACTTATCTCAGTTTGAAACAACGACAAAGGAGTTTCGACATTCGAGGTATAACCATAATCTCCAGGAATCGCTCTATAGTCTACTTTGTTTGCATATGAGGGCTTAGTTAATACTAGTTTTGAGAGCCCATTAGCTGTTGATTGGACTCTGCATTTCCCCTGATTCTCTATCATCTCTATCTCTTCATTATCTATGGCAGCCTCAATCCTTAGCTCTCCTAAAGTCAACATTCTCACAACCTTTTGATGAAACTCAATGCATTCATCAATGTGATGCCCTTTCTTTTTATGGAATGGGCAAAAATCATTTTTCCTCATGCAATGTTCAGATGGTTTCTCCAAATGTCCAGATTGTACCAACATCTCGCATAGCCTCGCCATGGTCACTCATAGCACTTTCTCTTTGCTACTGACCTCCATAGTATTCACTCCACTACCACCTACAGCATGTTTGGGTAGAGGGTTTGAATTCACATTAGGCGAATCTTCAAAAGTAACCCATTCGATTTTGATTAACTGTGATACCCTCTTTTTAAAAGCCACGCAATTCTCGATGCTATGACCCGCATTACCAGCATGGTATTCACAAGTCAACTCGGGATTGTACCAAGTAGGGAAAGGCAGTTGCATAGGCGTCAACTCGGGGTTGTACCAAGTAAGGAAAGGCGGTTGCATAGGCGGTAATGGTAAGGGAGCTATCTGTCCAATACTTAGCAACTTGGCATATAACTCCTTTAGGGTTATTGGCAACGGTGGTAATGGTTCTTCTAGTTGTCGGTTGTCTCTCCTTTGGTAATTGTTTTGGTTGTTGGTTAGGAATTTTGTTTGATGGGGTTGGTTTGGTATGGAGGGTTTGGAAAAGTTAATGCTAGTGATTTGGGAGGTAGGTGTTTGGTAATTTTGGTAGTTTCTTCCTTTCCCTTGATACCTACCTTCTAGGTTATTCACCTCGGTTTCCTTTTTCTTCCCAAAAAAACCCTTCTTCTCTACAGGTTCTGCAATTCTCCCATTTCGGATTCCTTGCTCAATCCTTTCAGCAATTCGCACAGCATCATAGAAATGCTGGGCTGAGCTACCCATAAGATGTTCATAGTATGGGGCCCTAAAAGTATTGGCAAACAGTGTTACCATCTCTGTCTCTATTAGTGGAGGTTGTACATTGATAGCTTGGTCTCGCCACCTTTGAGCATAAGCTCTCACGGACTCTTGAGTTCCTTTCTCCATGGTAATCAAACTGGTTCTATCAGGAGCAATCTCAAGATTGAACTTGTATTGTTTTAAGAAAGCATCGGCCAGATCTGTCCATTTCTTGATCTTAACGTTGTCCAACCTCATATACCAGCTAAGAGCCGATCCTGTCAAGCTATCCTGGAAGAAGTAAATTAGCAATTTATCATCATGGATAACTTCTGCCATCTTGTTATAGTACGAACGAAGATGGGTCTTTGGGCATTCCATTCCGGTATACTTAACAAACTCCGGAACTCTAAACTTCTTTGGAATTACGATGTTAGGCACTAAACATATTTCAGCGGCCCTAATTGGGTCAAATAAATCATTTCCTTCAACTGCCCTTAGCCTCTCTTCTAGAATAGTCCACTTATCATACCCTTCATGATTAGAGAATCTGACGTCTTGTGGATCCTCGTTTGTTAAATCCATCGTAACAGGGATTTGGATGGGCCGAATGGGATTAGGATGCTGCTTATTTGGTGTATTTTCCCCTGTGTTTATAGGTGCAATAGGGACTTGAGCTGCTGGTGGTGCTTCATCAGGTTGAGTAGACGTTCCCTCTCCATCTCTAGCTCTCAACATTTGCTCTAGCATACTGGTCAGGTGCGCCACATCATTCCGAACTCCTTCAAGCTCTCTTTGGTATTGAGTTTCAGATTGTGACCTTTCTTCATTTTCCATTCTTGTTCTTTGTCGAGTATTGTGGATTCTAGAAGGGGGACCTATGTTTCTTAATCTGCAGATGCGTGTATAGATGTATGAGAAAATGCATGATTGAGAATGTTGTGTATATTAGGTATGAATGCAATCTTCTTATGAACGAATAATAGCCACCACCTTATAGGTTCTCTTGTCACATTGCTAGGAGTACTGCCTTTCAAGTCGTTTGCTTGAATCATATTCACCAAGAGATAGATTTTGCATAAGAGGATGGGTCAACACCCTTTTCATTAATGCTTGATAAGTTTATTACATTAATAAATAAAAAGAAAGTACAAAATATATTAATCCCTTTCCTCCCTAAACTCTCTAGCCAAAGGTAAGAAAGCAAAGCCGCGATTCTCAATCTTCCCTAGAAAGGCATCGGTTTCAGCAAGGCTTCGACGATAGCGAATGATGTCTCCTCCAACATTCCGCGCATTGATTCTAATAATTCGAGCATGTGCCGCAGCTTCATCCATTTGCTCATCTGTCTTGGTCATCTTCTCTATAAGCAACATGTTGGTTCTGTTCAAAGCAATGTTGTTGGCGTCAATTTGATCCTTGTGTTTTTCCATTGCTGCTAGCTTCTCATCCAAATACTTCACCTTTTCACGTTCCTTGTCAAGTTTTATCCTCATAACTTTTATCTCATTCTTCTTAACTGCTAATTCTGTTTCAACAGCCTCGAAACCTTTCTTTTTACTTTCTTCTTTTGCAATCCCCATTGAACGGCTTTCCAACTTTATATATTTCTTGTTCAAATCCTCATACTTCCCAATCTTATCCATCAATTCGAATTGGACTTGTGCAAATTTTTCTTGGAAATATTCTGCACTTCCTTGGCAATCGTTAAGGTCAATCTCTAATGCTTCAAGTTCAGAGCAACTTTGCATTCAATCCAAACTCATCCTTCTTAGCTCCTTCTCACTTTCTTCCTTAGCAATCTTCTCCTCACCCAGCTTTAACTCAAGCTTTGTTATTCTTGCATCTCTAGATTGTAGTTGCTCATCTAGAAATGCTCTCCTTTTATCTCCTTCCAGCATCATTTCTTCCAACATTGCCTTGTCTTTTCTGCTTTTGCTCAACTCTATCCGAAGTTTTTCCACCTGTCTTCTCAACTCCTCTTCATTATTGACCCTCTTCCTCTTAATAGGCTCTTCTACAGTTTGGGGAGATTGGACTCCTACACAAGGCATGGCTGAAAGAGCTAGATTTCTCCATTTTGCATATTCTTCACTTGCACTTGGATCCTTTAAACCTTCTATCTCAACCAAAACCAGATGCTTCCAATCTTGTTTGATGATCTCCAAAACTTCTTGCG